GGGCCACATTGATTGGTGTAATCAAGATAAATCAGGACTTTGTTAATCTCCATACCGGGGGGGGGGGAGGGAGAGAGAGAAAGAGAGAGAAATTATGGTTAAGTTATTGAAAAATGTTAAATAGGTTTTTAAAAAATAAAAAATGCAACATAATTCAAATAAAAACCAAAAGTTAAATTTCAAATGCATATTATTTCTAGATGAGTGTGAGACGAGTGGGTTTCAATGAAAAAATTGATAAGACTCACTCATCAATGGATGATATGCATTTGATTTATAATTTTTTGGGTTTTATTTGAGTTTGTAGCATTACTCTAAAAAAATTGACTTGACGAATCACAATCATTGAATAGGTAGTAGACCTTCATAAATATTGGGACCTATACTTAAATCAATAATAAATATAACAACCATATCATCAAATAAAATTTTTAAATTAGTTATTACGGTACACAATGAGACATATTGTACCAAAAGTTAAATTTCAAATGCATATTATTTCTAGATGAGTGAGTCCCAATGAAAAAATTGATAAGACCCACTATTTCAATGGATGATATGCATTTGGTTTACAATTTTTTGGGTTTCATTTGAGTTTGTAGCATTGCTCTAAAAAAATTGACTTGATGAATCACTACCATTGAATAGTTAATAGGCCTTAATAAATATTGGGACCTACAGTTAAATCAATAAGAAATATAACAACCATATCATCAAATCAAATTTTTAAGTTAGTTATTACGGTACACAATGAGACATTGTACCAAAAGTTATTATGTCAAAAGGTTAAGTTATAACTCTAAAAAATATAAGTTACAAAAGTTAAAATTTTTAGGGGCTATTGGGTAAGTGGGATTGAGGAGACTTTGGAAGATAGGTTGTGGAAAAATAATCCAAATGACACACGAACTCATGTTTAACCAAAAATTTGTAGTCCGGGTTACCAAACTTGGCCGGCTTTTGACTCGAATCTTAAATCCTAGATCATGAGTTTCATCAAACCCATGGGGCGTGGGTTGTGGATGAGGGTTAACGAATTTAAGATACAAAAAAATAATTATACTTTTTACGTATATAAATATGAGTTTGAATTAGATTAGTGAAGAGACACAATAGTCATTTATATACAAATATATTATCATAATAGTTATATATCCTTGAGCATACTAAACATAAGTATGAATCGGATTTAATGTTAAATCTCATCTTTACAAAGAGGATTTGAGTTTGGAAGGGGTTAAATAAGTCAATTCAAACCCCTCCCAAAAAACTATTCAAACAGCCCGTTAATAATCAAGTTACGGTCCTTAAAAGTCAATTTGAAGTCCTACCCAAGTGACATATAGCTCTTCATTGGGCGTTATCTCCACGAATCATAAATTTTGATGCATGTTTTAGTTGATTCTCGTCGATGACTTTCGAGTTTAATCAAATCATGATATGTTGGAGGAATTTTTTGGCAGAAAAAATACTTTTATTTATTGGAAATTATTTTAGAATTAGAGAATTTGCATAAAAATTTATGGATGGAAGGTAGAAAGATGTCAACTTAACAACCTAGAAAGATTCGGATCTCCTTTAGTACAATTTCTCTCGATGATAAACCATCCCTCATGAAGTAAAACAACTATATATATATATATATATATCTTAATTCTATATCAATATAGAGTGGATGATATATAATCAAATATATACATACATATGGTGAATCCAATATAATAGACGGATAAGTCTACGGTAATCATAAAAAATGTGGGTAACACACCAAAAAATGAATCAGAACCATAATTTTTATATTGATTTACTTATGATCGTTGATCTTAAAAAATTGAAGTAAAGTGCCATAATAAAAAATAGAAAATGTTATTGTTTGGTGTATTTTTTGATTACGGGCGTGTTAAAATTTAATTGAACTTAAAATTCAAACACATATAATTTTATCTACTTAAACTGGCGTAAAGTTATTAAATTGTGATTATTCAAGCGATTGTAATAAAGTGTAAAGGTTACTTTGAGTTTTTTTTTTATGCCTTAGAGATCAATAATTTAAATATTTTCTAACTTATAACAAAATAGTCTAGAATGTAAAAACGCAACTAGAATACAAAGCGACAGAAGCATTTACATTTGTAAATGAAAATGCTATTGCATCTAGAAAGGAAAAATCACTGAAGTGATGGATTATAAGTTAAAGGAAATAAGCTAAATAAAATAAATTTTTTTTTTTTTTTTTTGTGTAGAGTTGTGATGTTCATCGAGAGCATTGTCTTTGGTAATTATAAGAGATGACTTCTAACCGTCGAAATCATCTTTTTCGGCAATAAATATAATCATTGCCTCTTTCGTCGAAATATATGTAGACATATATTAAATCGTCTTTTATTGAGAGCTTGTAATGTTCCATTTTCTCATTTCTCAAGAATTTTAGAGTCTCGCTTCCTTAATTCGTCTTGTTAGACTTTGACTCTCACTGTTTATTTTTAAACCGTCAAAACACTTTCACGTGTCATCATTAAATTTTATTATTTTTGGTAAAAAACAATTATACTTATCATATTGTGATCCATAAAAAATAAAATATATGATACTAAAAAATTAGTCATAATTCGTGCCTGAAGGCACGATAAAATATAAAATTCAAGCGTCCAAAAAATCGTTCCCACTATATTAAATTTTTTCAAAATATATTAATTAAATATTAAATAATTAAATATATGATAGAAATAAGTTGTGTGATATCTTTAAGGAGGAAATATATAAATGATTAAATATGTGATAAAAATGAGTGATGTGATTTAACGTTTGAGTCTAACAAAGAAATAATAAGTGAGGTAAGTAATTGATAATAATTTTAAAGAAAAAAATATGAATGAAATAAAATTAAAACAGACTCCTATTTTATTATATAGATTATTTCTTTGATATCTATCTACGTTGCACTCCTCGTTCATTGTAAATCATTTTTTTTTTTAACTTTAGTTTGCACTTGTTACGAGGTTGTCAACCCAAATCTCTGTGATACAGACATTGGATTTGAGCACCATGGCCAAAAGGCCATGCTTCAACCTGAATTCAATTGCTGAATCATGACTTTCTTTTTACTCTTAATTATATTATTACAAACAACTGCACACATTGACGACATCCAAGCCTGTTATGCCATTATTTCCGGGATAAGGCTGCTGTAGAGGTACTGTATTAAAAATCACAATAATAATATTTAAATTTAATTTAATGATATAATTTCTTGACCTACTAGCAATAATTTTGTATTTGAAAATACTATATAATATTAAAAATCAAACATTGATATTACAAAATTTATTTTTTAAATAGCGAAGTGCTTTTTGTTTAATTGCACAATTTAAAATTAAAATAAAAAGAAAGAAAATAGAGGTATGTGTAGATTGATGAAATTGTTTGGTGTTAGGGTTAGGACGTGTGTTGATGTTTTGATTGAGTTGTCTAACATTGGGGATTGTGGAGAGAAATTGATGTGTTTGAGTTATATATTTTTTTTGTTGGATGAATTTCCTATTATTAGATCAAAGTAAATAACAAATTGAATCAGTTTTAACTATTGTTGTGCTTTTATAAGTTGAGAATTTAATTTTTTATCGGTAATATAAAATAAATTTTGTCATAATCATTGAATTGATAACCGATCATAAAGAACATTGGGACTTTTTGGCAGTCCAAGGGTAATGAGTGATTAGATCAACAATTTAAGTTAGTAAATTATATCTAAATAACATTGCTTTAAAATTCATTTTGAGTCGTTGATTTTAGTTTAATGATTTATAACCATTGATTAAAAAAACAATAAAATTAAAAAAAATTATACATGACATATTTTTATTAGAAAATAAAAATAAAAATATCACCCAAAAAAATATTTCATGGTATCAAGTATTCATCAAATAAAGGTGGTTATCATTGCACCCTGATTCATTTTGGCATTTTTTTTCAAAATTTTAATGATATATTACACACCATCTACAGTAAGTTGTCTCACATGAGTATATCGAGAAAATATTCGGTACTTATAAGGTATTATTTAGTAATACACACACAAAATATTGCATATTGTGAGAAACAAACGCTAGAAATTAAATGCCAAATTTTTTCATAATTCTTGTAGCGTATACATGTAAAATGTTATATATTTTCAAGTGTATCTGATAAAATATGTTGTGTGATAATATTTCATTAGTTATAGACATCGCATGACAGTGTCATGTAGTAGATCACACACAATATTATGCATTCATATACAAAATATTATATTTTGTCAAAAAATATGCATATGAAATGTACATTTCCACTTCTATGTGACAAAAACATTTAGCTTTACAATTTTTCACTGGTTATAGACACAACATCCCAAAGACATTCGATAAAATTGGAATGGTATAGACAAGATTAGTGTGACATTTGAACAAGGATAACCTGCATAAATGAAAAATAATTCACTTATGTATAATGAGTTCTTCTTTAATTTAAATCAAATTAGAGCATTACCATGTTATATATACAATTAAGACTTGTAATTTTAGACACGAGACACCACTTAGCCATAAAATCAACATGTGGCTAAAGAGTGTTCAATTTATTTTAACAGATTTTAGTGATAAATAAATAGATCTTTCGGTCAAATAAATATATCAATATAAACCTAATTAGGCACAACATCAAATTAGCTAAACACGAAGTATATATGACAATAAATATTTTTTTTTGTCATGCATTATTACATGAAAGAAAACAACGAGGTTCGAATATGCAAGCTTAAGATCTAAAAATAGAGTGGTGGCCATTAGGCCAACCGCTAACCTCATGTGACTATAACATGACATTATACGAACTTGAGTATATACAATTATAAATCACGCTATATTTTGCATAAATTCGACACAATTCCATGATATAATTAAAAATACAAAGCACCATACAACCCATTTACGGCCCTATAAAAAAGAAAAAAAAAAAACACAACACCGACAACAAAAAAGAGAGATAATGAAATCAAACAACCGTTGCAAAAGTAACGCTTGCTTAGAGATGAAAGAGACCATTTTCAATCACTTTCTCATGTGAAGAGGCCACAGTAATCCAAACTTTAAAGCACCCTTCTCTCCTAAAAGCTCTTTTGGAGTAGAAGAAGAAGAAGGGTAATGGAGATGGAGAAGCCACGACCCAATGCTCTAACAATCCCAAGATTCATACTCCATTTCTCTCTCTGTCTTCCACTCTCCACCATTTTTGCCTCTGCTCAAGCTTTTGATTATGGTGACGCCCTCTCAAAGAGTCTCCTTTACTTCGAAGCACAGAGGTCAGGTCGCTTACCGTACAGCCAAAGAGTCACTTGGCGTCACCATTCCGGCCTCACCGATGGATTAGAACAAGGGGTGAGTTCAAATGTTCACAGCTTATCACATGTTTGATGAAATTTTGCTGAGTTTTTTGTGGAAAATTATGTATTTGATTAGTGTTCATTGTATTTTTGTTGCATAGGTAGACTTGGTTGGAGGGTACTATGATGCTGGTGACCATGTAAAGTTTGGGTTACCAATGGCATTCACAGTGACAATGCTGTCATGGGGTGTCGTTGAATACGCCGAAGAGATCGCCGGCGCCGGAGAATTGGAGCATGCTTTGGAGGCAATTAAGTGGGGAACTGATTATTTCATTAAAGCTCACACTAGTCCAAATGTGTTATGGGCAGAGGTATATAGCTAACTGTTCAAAATTGGTTCAAGTTTGAATTTACTATGATTCAAAATTGGAATTTACTGTGTCAAAGGTGGGTGATGGAGACACTGATCACTACTGCTGGCAACGGCCAGAGGACATGACTACGTCGCGGCAAGCATACAAGATCGACGAGAACAATCCCGGGTCGGATCTCGCCGGAGAGACTGCGGCTGCAATGGCTGCGGCAGCCATTGTATTCAAGAAAACTAACCCACATTATGCTCACCTATTGTTGCACCATGCCCAACAGGTGAAAAATCAATCTTTACTTTAATGCAATGCATTATTATATCAGATCCAGTGGGATTGTGCAACATTTAGTTTGGTAGTTTTTTTTTTTAATAGGTAACGATATTTTACACTACAGGGAGGGGGAAGGGGATTCAAACCATAAATATGTTACCCCAGTATGGAGGGCACCAATCATTCGGATAGGACTTCGGTCCTCATTAAGTTTGGTAGTTAATACCCTCGGTTCTGAAGTTTGCATTGTAATTTCGAGTCTAAAAGCATGTATTGGGATGGTTCTAGGTTAATTTGTTAGTCTAAAGGCGTGTGTTTGTGATGGTTATCGGTTATGTTTGGTAGCTAGTACACTTGGTTTTAGATTGTTTTTTTTGGTTAAACGGTCAAAGGCGTCTGGGTCAGTTTACGCACATCTCGATCAATCTTTTCTCCGGTTCGGTCAAAGACAAGTCATTCACGTCAGGACTAAGGTATTCACGAGGGATATCCTCATGACCAGCCTTCAAGTAATTGTTAAGATTCGAACTCAAGACAACTAAGTTTACAGTTCGTCTATGTTATCACTTGAACTATCCCTTGAAATTATTGGTTACGGAGTTTTTATTGCAGTTTCGAGTCTAAAGGGCGTGTGTTGGGAAAAAAATATAAAATACTAATTTTCTATTATTGGGTAATGTTTTTTTTTTTGGTTGCAGTTGTTTGAGTTTGGTGACAAGTATAGAGGAACATATGATAGGAGTGTTGGGGTGGTGAAGAGCTACTATGCATCAGTGAGTGGGTACATGGATGAGTTGTTGTGGGCAGCTTTGTGGCTATACAAAGCCACCGACAATGAGGAATATTTGAAGTATGCAATTAACAAGGCTCATTGCTTTGGTGGCATTGGTTGGTCTATTACTGAGTTCAGCTGGGATGTTAAGTATGCTGGTCTTCAAATCATTGCTGCAAAGGTAAAGTTTTCCACGTTTCTCTTTCCCCTAATGGCCCCATTGGTTTGTTGTGTCCAAGAACTTCACTTTCAAAACCTCACTTTCATTTTCAAAAATTCAAATTTCTCTCTCTCTCTCTCTCTCTCATTCGGGAACAAAATAAGACAGATTGAGGATGTTATGTCTTCATTGGGCCAAAAGATGAAGTAGGGTACAGAAAAACAACTATTCTAGTTCCGTAGTTGAATCTTAGAATATGTTGAATTTGTGTGGGTAAAATCTCTTTAGATTTTATGTTTTTTCCTCCATTCAAAGATGAAATAATATTACTTACTTTTGTGACACACTTTCACTTTTGTAAAGTTAGAGAAATAGTGAAGTGAGGCTTGGTTTAGGTATCTCATTAATAGAAAGGTAAAAGAATAGATTGTCTTCTTGGAGAACAAAACCATGTGCATATGAGGTTTGAGTGGCAGAGCTTTTATGAGGTGCCCAAATGTTAATATGGCTAACAATACCTATTTATGTGCTCTAGGCTCTAGTAGATAGATCTTGGATCTATTTTTATCCAAAGGAAAAGTAATATCATATACCCTAGTTTTAGGTTTTATGATTGGAATATCTTCAATTTCTAAATGTGATCGGCTATTTGCAGTTTGTTTCCTCAATGGTAAATGAGTGAAATTTCCCTAAAGGGTGAAAGTTCGGTTGAACACAATTGCACGATGACAATGATTTAGTCAGTATTCAATCGCATCACTAGGATGAACTTCAAGGCCTCATTTCATAGATGGTGATATGACCAAAATCTTTTATCGTAGGACTTTTCTCGTGTAGTAGTGTTGGCTAAACTTTGTTTTTTTAGGTTTAACAAGATTTAAATGATTTCGATTTGACATATATAGACTATTTTACAAGTGTTTTTTTCATAGAAAAAGTAATGCTATATACACTAGTAATACTGTAATAGGACTATCGTACATTAAATAAGACTCGCTAGGAACGGAGTGATATAAACAATTCTATTTTATAAGTTTGTGCAATATTTTTGCATATAGAATTCGACCCGTATGGCCTATAGGTGATATTTATGAGTCTCTATGACATTAAATCTGCTTACTTTGGTGAGTAAAAAGTGATGGTCAATGGGAAAAACGTGAATTCAATATTTATATTAACAATTTTAGTTCTTGATAAATAGTGAGAAGTAGGCCACATGGTGCACATGGATGGTCCAAAGAGCTCAGGGCCTACCAACCAAACAACTAACATGGGTTTACCAGTGAGAGAGACTGTCCAATCTTAGATTTTTCTTGGAATTTTTAGTTGTAGATTAGCCTGTTAATGGATCCGTTTGTTGACCGATTTGAATTCGAATCTGATTTTTAAAAGTCTGATCTTATAATAGGATAGATTTTATTTTTGTGATCTATATTCAAATTTGTTAACAATTCGAGATTCGATTCGATCCGAACTACTTAATTAACTAAATTTTAACAAATTATACCTAAATTTTAACTAATTTTCTTTAATATTTGTATAAAAATATATAAATAATTTAGATCGGGTCATAATCAGATCAGATATATGTATATCTAAATTCAAATTCCTGAAATATAAGAGATCGGATTTGAATTTGAGTTCAAATTATTGATAAAAATATTAATTTATATTTGACTAATTAAATTGGAATTCAAATTTAGATTAAAATTCGATCTATTGACAGACTTAATTGTAGTCTACCCAAAACTTTAAAAGTATGGGCTCACTCTTTCTGCTTCTAGTCCCACTCAATCAATTCAGCCCGGTTATGTCCAAAATTGGGATAAATGTGGTGATTATGTGATCGCGCAGCCATGGCCAACAAGTTTCTTAAAGGTCGTATTAGCAAAGAGGTGTAAAGGTTACTGGGTAATCGCTTTGACACACGCCAGGTCAGTCAGAATCCTTCGAGTGGTGGGATGAGATTTGTAACAATTTCTACCCCTTACATTACCATTTCTTAACTCTTAGTTACCTTTCCCCCCACTTGAAAAATTCTAGCTCTACACCCGAGTATACGCTACTCTACCGCATTGTACAAAAATAGATTGTATTAGATAATACAATCTAATTCCGTAAGATAATACAAACTAATTTCATATAAGAAAACAACAAGATTAAATACGGGACAAAAATATTACGTATTATAATTCAGTGTTCGGTAAGACACTAGATTAAGAATGAAATAATAAAGTACTAATTACATATTGTCCAAAAAAATCATCAATTTTATCTAATTATTAATGTTTTTATTTATTTGACAAGTAAAATAATAAATTTATAACTTAATACACTTGAACTTGACTATAATACCATATCTCCACATGGTATTACAATCAGCTCAATAGTACAAATAGAGTGTATTATTTGGATAAGTATTTGAAATAAGATTATATATAATACGGAATATTTTTTGCAACCAAATGCAGTATAAAGTTAAATTAGAGAGTTTAAACCTGTTATGATTCCGTAATCCACCCTTTAATACTACAACTAAACAAGTAATCTAGAAGTGAATTATATGTAATGGAAAATAAGTGTCAAAAAGCTTTTTTGTATTCATGAATTTTCCTCTTCTTTGCAGTTGCTTATGGAAGAAAAGCACAAGAAGCACAATCACATACTACAACAATACAAATCAAAAGCAGAGTACTACATATGTTCATGTCTGAACAAAAACAACGGCAGCAACAACAACGTGGACCGAACTCCGGGAGGCCTACTATACGTGCGGCAGTGGAACAACATGCAGTACGTTTCATCGGCGGCATTCCTCCTCACAGTATACTCCGACTTTCTCCGGGATTCTCAGCAGAAGCTCAGCTGCCATGGGGGAATAGTAACCCCAGATGAGCTCCTCAACTTTGCCAAATCTCAGGTTGATTATACTCTGGGCTCTAACCCAATGAGCCTGAGCTATCTAGTGGGCTATGGTCCTAACTACCCCACAAGGGTGCACCATAGAGGGGGTTCAATTGTGTCATATAGAGAGAGCAAAGGGTTCATAGGGTGCACCCAAGGGTATGATAACTGGTACAGCAACATGGGACCTAACCCTAATGTTGTGGTTGGGGCATTGGTTGGAGGGCCTGATTGCCAAGACAATTTCAGTGATCAAAGGGGGAATTATATGCAGACAGAGGCCTGTACATATAATACAGCACCACTTGTTGGAGTCCTTGCCAAGTTGAATCACTTGGACTACCAAAATGTTAGAACAAATCACAATTCTCCTTTAATTGCATCTTATTAGCCAAGTAATATAGTGATATATGGAGTGTAATATAAGCAAGTCCTTTTTTTATTGGTGGTGGTGCGGGGTGGGAGTTGTGTGTGTGTGTGTGTGTTTTTTTTTTTTTTTTTTTTGGGGGGGGGGGGGGGGGGGAGTTGTGTGTTCAAGCCCAAATTGTAATTTCAAGTTTGTGTGTTCTTAATACCAAATGATATAGAAGTAGTAATACTTTGTTTTTTCTGTCAACTTGTAGAGTAATACATTAGACATGTTTGGAGTTATCTTAAATAAGTAGCTTTTATGAACTTTGGAGTAAAATAAGTCAGATTCGTTTAGAGTTAGACATTTTTAACAGCTTATAACTTTTTGGACCCAAAAAAATTATTTAAGCTAATTATATGAACTTTTCTTTCAACTTTTTAGAGTGTTTGTCGTAAGTCCCACATACCTTTTAAATTTATTATATTCATAAAATATTATTAATGAAGTAAAAAATTTAAAATTTATATTTTATAAAATATTATGCATAATCTAGATATACATGTAATTATTTTTTTATTTTGACATAAAAAAAATTAGGAAGTCACTCAAAACAAAAATTTTCGGCTATTTATAAAAAATCAACTCCAAACACGCTCAATATCATATTCAAAAACAAGTGGAGGATTGGAAGACTATCGCCCCGCCCCGCCAAATTGCTACGCACATCTAGAACTGGCAATGAGCCGCGACGTGTTTATGTCATAATTTACTCAAGTAATACACGTCTTTATAATCGTGTACATTAAGTTTATGTCATTATAATTCGTAAAATAGAACTGTACATAGTCATTTTAATACTATATATAGCTGAATTTTGTGGCAAGGAAGGATCGGTTAGTACATGAACTTGTTTAAGCCAAACATATAATTAATTACGTATCAATTTTGGGTTCGGTGGATTATGATAAGTATTGCCAGCCTTATGTGCCTCTAGTACTCACCTCCCTTCCTTTTTTTGGCTCAAATGTTCAGTGATAATACTAGGGTTCAAATGCGGGCTCTTTAGTAGTTCCCATGTTACTAAATACTAAAAGCAAGGGTAAATTACACATAACCCTCAAATTATGACTTTTGTATCAACTAAGCCCTTAAAATTTTTTGTGTCAATGAAGTCCCTAAACTCTGTAATTATATCAATTAAATCATTTTGTCGGTCTTTGTTAGAGTGTGTCACTCACGTGACTATACAAGCACAAAAACATTAAAAAAAAACACTCAATTGAAATAATTAAATAGTTCCGGGACTCAATTGACACACAAAAAAGTTCAAAAACTAAATTGACACAAATATTATAGTTTAAAAGGTACACGTATAATTTATTCCAATCATTTGTCACGTGGAGACCATAAAATGACACAAGACGACAAAACGGCAATGAGAGCATTACAACCACAAGACGATACTGCCAAAAAGTTTGCATACAGAGAGAAAACCAAACTTTCAATCACTCAGCTCATTCTTCTCTACTACGATATGTGGAGACCATAAAATGACAAAACTGCCGACCTTATCATACTTCTTTTGTTCTAATCAAACATTCACTCCACCTGTTCCTCTTCCTTCATGAAAAGAGCAGAGTAAAGTAACTCTCTTTCACCATTCCTCTTTACTCTCAATCATTCACACCCACTTATTCATCTTCATTTGAAAAGCACTTTAAGCAAAACAACAGTAAAAATACTATGCAATCTAAATATGAATGAGATTCATTGATCCAATGATTCTTATTGATTTAGGATGTCATTTGGAATCTCAAATTTGAATTGTATAGCATTGCTCAAACAACATCCTCTCTCTCTTTCTACTTTTTTCACCCGATATTTCACTCGCACTTATTCCTCCTCCATTTAAAGAGTCCTTGGAGCAAAATAACACTTATCTCTCTCTCTCTCTCTCAAAAATATGGTAACCATTGCCTGTATCAACTCCATCATATCTGTGTTGCATGTTGTCCATTTAGTTCCCTGTTTGGCTGTTTCTCCAATAATCTAATTCTTTCCCAACTCTCACAGGGTGTGGTTGATACCCATCTTGACAAAGATGGTGCAAACAAAGAAGATCTAGTAGATTTCCGAGGAAACCCGGTGGACAACTCAAGAACTGGTGGATGGCTCGCCGCAGGACTCATCTTAGGTTGCTCTACCCTAGTAGCATGGCTAAACATATCAATCATAATACAGTAGCATATCTTTTCGAAACACAACATACACATTCCAAAAACACAGCACAAACACACTTCAAAACAATATTGTGCCATATCTAATGTTAAAACTTTGTTATAGGAACCGAACTCTCAGAAAGGATATGTGTGGTGGGCATATCTATCAATTTGGTGACATACCTAGTTGGAAATCTGCATCTTTCATCGTCAAAGTCTGCAAACATGGTGACCAATTTCATGGGCACTCTCAATCTTCTTGCCCTTCTGGGCGGTTTCTTGGCAGATGCTAAGCTTGGCCGTTACTTGACTGTTGCAATCTTTGCCTCCATAACTGCTCTGGTAAGGTTTGTGCCAAAATAAGACATAGTGAAACACTTCTGTGAACCTCAAGGGTGTGTTATAATTCTTTGAATAAATTTACTGAAACAAACAGCTCATTATAGGTGAGCTATCAGATACAAGTACATCTCTTGTATCTGATAGGCCTTCACAAGGAGTAGAATAGAAGCATTATAGTACCTAGAATTTTATTAGTTCAATCTCTATCTTGTATCTCTCTTCTTCAACCAGCAAAAAAAAAAAAAAAAAGTACATCTCTGCTTGGTAGTTTTTATATTCTGCCATATGTATCAGTTTTGGGTCCAACTAAATCCAAAGTTCAAGCATGAAAAGTTTGCCCAGAAATTCAAAACAAATGCTGAAAACTTATAAATTTCGAAAAAAAATGGGCCTCTTTTTAAAATTTATTTTTAGAATGATATTGGCAGAAGGTTAGACTATAATTTGACATTTGTTTTCGGAATCTGGAAAACCTAGACTAGTTGAGCAACTGAATTTCCCAGTAATAAAAACAATAACAATAACAATAACCACAGCAGTAGCAGTAGTAGGAGCAGGAGCAATAGTGGTAATGATGGGTTTCTTATAATATAAAGAAAGAGAAATATGGCATGTTGGAATTTTTTTTTCTCGTTTGAGAAAAAAGGTGGGTGGGAGACCCCACGTAGTTAACCTTGGATAGATGGCAAGTCACCCTAAGAGTCGACCCCTAACCTCAATCCCTCCTAGGATCACCACCACCGCCTCTAGTAAGTTTGGCTCCCAACATCAGAATTGGGACCTATATATATCTGCTGAACCAGTGTTACTTTAAAACTTCTCTCATTACTCATTTGTGATGATCCTCAGAGCAGAGGACAATAGATGACTTAGGTGCATCACACCTACATGTGATCGTGGGTTCGACACACCCAGGGGAGGTGGGTCCCCTCAACAAAAAAAACCCCCTCAAAGCACTTGTGTTAACGTGGAGGACCATGGTTGTTAAGTTGAAACCATGTCCATGGGTACTTGCAGTCAATCAATTAGGAAGCACAAATACAAATATGGATATGACATAGATACGAAAATAAGAAAAAATTTTAAAAAAAGATATTGATATGGCCAAAATACATCTATAATAACATAAATTTTATATTTTACTATTATTTAATGATTAAAATTTACAGTTTTCAATAATTTTTTAACAATACTAAACAAAATTAAAAATTTTTATATTGAAAAATATATAATATCGTCACATTATAATAGAATCATAAATTAGTGTGATCAATTTAAGAAATCAGTACCACATTTAACTAGTTAGTTTGTTTATAAGTATTTAATTTTAAGATTATAATGCAACTAATTTATTTTTTTTATACTTTTTTAACATGTATTAGTAGATAGTACTTAAAAAACACTCGTGTCTTCAAAATCAGAAGAAATTTTATTAATTTGTATTGTATGTGAACTCGAAAGAAGAGAGTATAAATTAAAATTAAAATTAAAAATTGTGCATCTTACTCCATGTTTAAAAGCATCTGCGAAGTATCCACATATTTTATTAATTATCGAATTTGTATGATATTTATCTAATACATATCTTCGAGTATTTGACAAGTAGAATATCTGTATATCGACCTTAATGTATCTGTACTTTATAGCTGGGCAGATGTCTAACTAGTCAAAAACTTTTGGTTAAATGTTCTTTTGACTTTGCGTATAAAATGCTTGAAGTTTGTAGAGTTTTCTCATACAGACATCATTTTATCCTAATTTGCACCAGGGGGTGACATTGTTAACATTGGCGACAACCATTCCTGGAATGAGACCCCCTCCATGCGGTGACTCAAGAAGGCAGCAATGCATTGAGGCCAATGGCCATCAACTAGCTATGCTCTACGTTGCTCTCTACACTATAGCACTCGGTGGTGGTGGAATAAAATCTAATGTCTCCGGTTTTGGGTCCGATCAGTTCGACATATCAAACCCTAAGGAGGAGAAGGCAATGATCTACTTCTTCAGCAGGTTCTATTTCTGCATCAGCCTTGGGTCTTTATTCGCTGTAACAGTGCTGGTGTACATACAAGATAATGTGGGAAGATCTTGGGGATATGGGATATCAGCAGGAACTATGGTAATAGCAGTTGCTGTATTGATCTGTGGGACGCCATTGTATCGATTCAAGAAGCCCCAAGGTAGCCCCTTAACTGTTATATGGAGGGTTTTGTTTTTGGCTTGGAAGAAGAGAAGTCTTCTGTATCCTTCTCATCCCGAATTACTGAATGAGTACCACAGAGCAAAAGTTCCACATACTCAGAGGTTCAGGTAAATATAGCACAGAAAAGAAAACTATTAAATCCTAATCCTAATCCTACCATCCCATTCACACATTCATGCAGTTAAAGCCGTCACACTCAATTTTAAACATATAACTTCAAACTCTTTCAGCTTTAGAGTATGAACTTCCTTGGAATAAAATTCCTGGAGGGTAAACGTGTTTCAAGTACTATGCCATTTCTGAAAATTCTAAGTCCAGGAGGATTAATATGTATCAAGCACTATGCACTTTCTGAACATTCTAATTCTCAACACCAAGAAATCCTGCTGACAGCATCAATTAGTGTTTTTCAAATATTAGCTAACTTACAGTTTCTCTGTGCTTGTGGTGGAATAGGTGTCTTGACAAGGCTGCAATCGTAGACGACCGTGCGGTGGCCGATGAAAATAGACACAACTCTTGGATAGTTTCAACAGTGACCCAAGTTGAAGAAGTCAAAATGGTGCTAAAGCTCATCCCGATATGGTCCACCTGTATCCTCTTTTGGACAATATACTCTCAAATGATGACCTTCACCATTGAGCAGGCCACGTTCATGAACCGAAACATCGGCTCCTTCGTTATCCCTGCAGGCTCTTTCTCTTTCTTTCTCTTCATCACCATTCTCCTCTTTACTTCCCTAAATGAAAGGGCCATTGTTCCCCTTGCTCGAAAAATCACCCATACCACCCAAGGGATCACAAGCCTTCAGCGGATTGGAACCGGACTAATATTCTCAGTGGCTGGTATGGTAGCCGCAGCAATTGTTGAGATGCGAAGGAGGAAAATAGCCAACCAGCGGAATATCAGAATTAGCGCTTTTTGGCTAGTCCCTCAGTTCTTCCTCGTTGGTGCTGGGGAAGCTTTTGCTTATGTCGGACAGCTCGAGTTTTTCATCAGAGAGGCACCAGTGCAGATGAAATCAATGAGCACAGGACTATTCTTAAGCACTCTCTCAATGGGCTACTTTGCAAGTAGTTTGTTAGTATCTCTGGTAGATAAGGCAACAAAGGGAAACTGGCTAGGGAGTAATTTAAATGAGGGTATGTTGGAGAACTTTTATTGGATGCTTGCTGTGCTAGGAGTGATAAATTTCTTTTGTTTTCTTGCCTTTGCTATGAGACACCAGTACAAGGTGCAGCAGTACATAAACGATGGTCAGGAGACAGAGCTCAAGAATGGAAAGGCCGAAACAACTTATGACATGGAGAAGAAAGTCAGTGCCGAGGCCGAGGGGGAACCTTAGTATGTGTGCTTTGAGATGTTTGTTGGTATTATTTTAATGCTCAGTGCATTTACATTCAATCCTCTTTAGTTTTACTGCCCCTTTAAAGAGAGTCAAAGCATACATGCTCATCAAAACATACATGCTCATCAAAAGGTAAAAATATTCCTATCATTTGCAATTTATCAGAATTCACCATAGATTTCCATGATGATTGATTTAGGATTCAACTATCCCTGAAAATTAATAAACTCTTCCTATAGGGCAATGTGACTGGTGCACTTATGCATGAATTCACAAATTATCTAAAACTAACATTAGCAAAAATGGTAGGATAACATTTTGACTTAGTGTTCCATGGCTTAATAAAGGTTGCACTTGTGCCACATAGAAATGCGTACCAAGGTGATGAATTGCTCTTGTTCAAATAAGAATCAAAATCTATGCCAAGAACAATATACTATCAATGTTTAACTGGGATGCAAAAACTAGAAGGCTATATGTATCATCTACAAACAAGTGTTCTTTCACTTGATGCTCATCAACCTACATCCCAAATAAGATGGCACCTATAAACATGATCAACTACAGAATTTAAGTTTTTGGCTGATAAAGAATCTAAGTCAACTTTTGCCCCCTTTCAACTTCTCCGCCAGATATGCATGTTTCCTACTTGACTGCATTTTAAAATCCAGAAAGGAGGGAAAGAAGTAAAATGCTCGTTAATTATGGCAATTAAACAAAGGTTTGGACTACTGTGAGAGAATCTGAATCACATATTGGCAACACAGCCCATATTGAACAGGAGAATCAATTTAATCAGACAACTCTTTAAATGGCTTGTTCACCTGCCTTACTGCATCTAGATAGAAAGACAAATTGAACATATTTGATAGTTTCATTGATACAATGCATAAAACAGAGAAGGATGATTGCAAAATGTTCATTGTACTGGACATGTGTTCACAAATTACAATATGTGAAACACCCTATCCAAATAACAACCCATAGTAAGGAAGTGAGGAGTTCACTTACCTCATAAGAATTAAACAGGTTGCTGAGAAGAATCACCTGCAGGAACATCGAGATGGTCCACAACCAGCGGGGGACGTAGAGCTTGGTGGCTTGCCTCCTTTTGTTTACGGGTTTTATACATCTGTTCTGTTTCTATCACAACCAATCTCTTGACCTAAGCGAATATTGGAAAATCAAAGTTTAGTATTACTAGATAAAATTTTGATACAACGGACTGCAAGCTTGTTCTGGAACCTGTTGAAGCATCTCTCTGACAGGGGGAGTGTTCCATCGTATGACAGTTCGATTGCACTTGGTAAGGGCCCCAGGCAACTGGGACACATGCTTTGTAAGCCTTGAAAGCATTCATATCGTTTCTTTCTTTTGCACCTACAATATCAATCGAAACATTTAAGCAATAATCCTTCCCGAATGCTTAAGAATTTCTAAAGTTGCAACAAAAATCCTATGGCCTACAAATAAGAGTATAGGAAAGGGTAAAGAAATCTATACAGAAACAATACATATGTAGATCAATCCGTACATTAAGAAGAACAAAACTTGACAATCATCAACACGATGTCTGTTGACAAACCGTTGCACAGCTGTGGAAGGAGACAATTTAATTGTCCACAACAATACTTGCATTGGGGCTGCCATTGATTTCTCAATCAATTCACTTTTTTGAAATCTCCGAAAGAAACACACCTTCAACGTTCGAACATGATGTGATCAGGTCCTTGAAGTTGAATAGAGGTGGTGACGAAGTGAAATCGGCGGTGGGATGAGCGGTTCTCCGCGGCTGCGATATCGTCGGTTTTCTTCCACAGGCAACGGTTCAGATTAGGGTTTTGCTAGGTTCTCAACTGTGGGGTCATTTATAGCCGGAGATTAGACTGATAAAATGAGAAAGGCAAATCTCAATTTGTAATATGAAATATATCGAATTTTAATTTACGTTTTAAAAATATTAATTTATACATTAAAAGACATAAATTTATATTAATATGGACGGAAATTAACTTTCATCCATTTTACTGTGAAACAATTACAAATTGCACCTTGAGGTTTCAATATTTCACATTTATTATTAAACAAAATTTCATCTATTAATATTTGTTAAATACCTCTCAATTGTAATAGATCGTGTTATTTTGTGTTATGTCATATCATTTTCGTGGTGTTTGAGTGGATAAAAAATATATTTTTAACACAATATTTTCGTGTTGAATTAATTGTGTTGTGTCGTATATTTTACATATATTTTTGAATCAATATATTTTTAACACAATAATACTATTTAACATTTTTAAAAATTATAAAATACCTAATTTTTGCTTTTAATACTCATTAAATAGTTATTTTCTGTTTAAAATTATGTTTTTCATATCTAATTATACTTTGATCAAACATTCAAAAAACTCATATCTAATTGTAGATAGAAAATAGCTACCTTACAAGTATTGTAAGCAAAAAATATGTATTTTATAATTTTTTAAAATTTTAATTTTTTTTATTGACTCGAATATGACATGAAAATATTATGATACGATTTAATTGAGAATTATTTAACGAGCATTAATGAAAAAAATTCTTTTTGGGTCATATATTTAAAATATTTAAACTTTAAATGTGTAATTTATAAATAGTTCAAACTTTTTTAATGGCAAAATGGATGACAATTAATCTCATGTGCACATTGATACAAATTTATGTCTATTAAGGTGTAAATTAATATTTTTAAATTTTGAAAGTACAAATTAAAATTCAAGTAATCTTTTAGGATGAAAGTTTTTTTTTGTTCAAAAAAAAAAAAACTTTCATCCTAAAAGATTACTTGAATTTTAAGATTAGCCAAATGGGAAAGATAAATGGGTTGCGTTTAGTGGCCCAACTCTAAAATAAAAGAATTGATTAATTTAGGAGAAAAAAATTAATTTTCAGACATAAAATTAGAATTTGTATTTTTTTATTATAAAAATTGAGTCTCCCATTTTATTTCAAAGGAGCCCACTTTCGAACATCGATTAGGTTTTTAAATTAAATCTCAAAATAAAATTTAAATAATATTTTTTAATCACAAATTTACTTGTAGTGGCCCAATTCTAAAATAAAGGAATTGATTAATTCAGAAGAAAAAAACTTAATTTTCAGATATAAAAATAGAATTCTTATTTTTTTATTACAAAATTGAGTCTCCCATTAGTATGTTGAATATATACCTAATTTTGAACTTCATGCAACTCTTCAAACGACAATTGGATTTTTATGTACAATCATAATATGAACAAATTTTTATGGTACTTTTTATTTTGCAAAAATTTTGTTTTCTTATGTTCTGTTTAGTAGGAAAGATGGAAAGTAAGAAAGATAGAAAATATAAGGGATACACTTTCTATTCTTCAATGATGAAAAAATATGAATAATACACTTTCCTTTTTTTGTATTTGGTTGAATGGATGGAAAATAAAAATTAATATTTTTTTTAATTTTTTCTTGTGTTGGCTAATATTAAGTGAAGGGGTTTGCCCTCATGATGGCACATGTTACAACATTAAATAAGCTTACGTGAGCTTGACAAGACCAGTCATGTGACAAAGACATTCACCAAGGTCCTGCCGTACTGATCAATTCATTTGACAAACAAATAAAGAGTTAAGTTCTCTTTATGACCGAGTTCATCAATTTGTTTGGCTATGCAAGGAGAGAGCTTGGCTTGTACCAAGCCAAGTTCTCTAAAGTGTTCGGAAAAGCAATTGAAAAGATCGGTTTGTGCCAAAACAAGTCTCCAAACCGTTCGGCAAATGTCGAATGTGCTCGGCACTCGATATGTCCGAGTTGTTCAAAACGATAGATGGAAAGTTAAATATTCGCCTAAAATTTAGGTAATCAGATAAATGAAATCAATGAGATTAAAGATATCAAGAGAAATTGTTGGAGAAGTATCAGTAACTTTCCAAACTCAACTACTGAATTAAAGGAAGGTGTGCCACTTTAAACCTAAATTCGTGGAAACCCTAAGGGGATAAATGATCTATAAAAAGCAGAAGAGACCAAGGTGAAAGGTACACTAAACTCTCATTGTCTTGCTGCAATTCTTTTTGTTCCATTACTGACTTAAGCATTAGAGTGCCTTCAATCGAAGCACTTCGATCTTGGGCAGTTTGTTCATTTTGCAGGAAAAGATTAGGAGATTGTTCAGATTTCTTTCCCATAAATCATATCACTAATTCACGTGTAGAAGTATTACCAATTTTTTGCCTCTACATTTTGACGTCGTCTGTGGGAAGATCTTCATCTTTCAGAACAAAAAGCTACGATGTCAAGACTCAGAAGCGCAATTGGATTACCTGTAGGCAGTTTTGCCCTAGGAAACCCTGATCCTGCGTCTCTTCTTCTGACGCGACGCAAGGTTGCATGCAGTTAGAAGCCCTTCCAAAATTCATGAAGGTGACGAGGTATCCTCTACGAGTTTCAAGCCCTTGAAAAACCAGAACCAGCAAAGCGAGGATCATGGTAAATCCCTCCGTGTCGAGGGGGAGAATCACTCCTTGGCAAAGTTGGTCCAGTCCCTGCAGGATTGACTTGATGCTCATGATAAGCTGTTCAAGAAATCCTATGCTAGGGAGAAAGATCTGATCAAAGAAAACGAAGAGTTAAAAGCCAAGTTGAAAGAGGTGACCAGAAGGAAAAAGCGGGCAAGAGAGGATCAGCATGAAAGTCCGGGAAAGAAGCCTAGCAGTATTAAAATTGCCGATGAGAAAGATTACAGGCAGAAGAAGCCTTGGATCCAGGAGGAGGACACGTGAAAACAGTATATCAACGAAGAGCTCAACATTCGCTTGAAGAGACCAGAGCAAAGGTCGGCAAGGGACCTAGCTAGAAGAGCAACAGGGGAGTACGGAGATGGTTTGGAGTCATCCCCATTCATTGCTTGGGTCAAAAAGGCTCGAATCCCGAGCAAGTTTGTCGTCCCGAACTTCAAGTTGTACGACAAAAAGACCGACCCAGTCTCACATATCAGGCACTTCGGACAACTGATGACCATTCACTAAAGCAACTAGCCACTGCTTTGCACTATCTTCCCTAGCAGTCTTGGGGAGTCTGCCATGAAGTGGTTCAACAGCTTACCGAAAAGAACGATTGACGGGTGGTCATAGTTAGTCGAGTAGTTCACAGCTCGATTCATCACGAGCAGTAAACAACCAAAGGATGTTGGGGCTCTACTAACACTGAAAAAGAAGAGTAACAAAAGCTTGTGAGAGTATGCACATCGCTATTGGGAAACTATGAATAAAGTCAAATGGTGCAATCCAGAGATTGCAATTGCATCCTTCAAGATCGGTTTGCCGAAAGAAAATCCTCTATACCAATCGCTCATAAGGAGACCTGCTACTGACCTGGAAGAATTGATGGCAAGGATTGAAAAGTATGCCAAGGTTGATGACAACTTATCTAGGGAAGTGGTTAAGGAACATCCGAGCAGGAGACAGTTAGGTAGAGACAAGCTCGAGCCGAACAGAGAGGGAGGAAGGAAGTTTGAGAATGAGGGATATCCCCAGAGGTCCCCTTTTCTGGGGGTAAATACATTGTTCAAGTAACCAACATACAAGGTTCTAAGTCAGATCAAAGGCAAACTGTTCTTCAAGTGGCCGAACAAGCTAATAGGCGATCCATCTAAAAGGAATCCAAACTTTAGGTGCTCGTATCACAGGGATATAGGTCATATGATTGAGAATTGTCGATCTTTCAAGCAGCATCTGGAGGAGTTAGTCCAGGCTGGACATCTCGCAGAGTTTCATTAAAAGTGAGCAAAAAACCAAAGGGGGGAGAACCAACCCAAAAGGGGACCACAACACTCCAGTTGGGGTAATTGATGTGATCCATGCCGCCACCAACCCTCAGATGTCCACAAACAACTCTACTCGGGCTTATATTCAGAAAGCAGCCAAAGAGAGAGAAGTGTATGAGTTAAGGATGACCCCGGAGGTCGCCAATAAAAGAATCAAGACAAAGGATACAGTCAAAACGATCTGTTTCACTGAGCAGAACTTGGTCGGTGTTCACCAACCGCACAACAACACCTTGGTCGTCATACTTTGGATTGCGAATTTTGATGTGAGAAGGGTCCTGATTGATCCGGGGAGTTCATAAAAAATCATGTATATGGATCTGTTCGAAAAGCTCGATTTCAAGAAAGAGGACCTCAAGCTCTCAAATACTCCACTTATCGGCTTTAGTGGAAAAATAGTTCTTCCTAAGGGGAAGGTCACGTTGCCTGTAAAGACAGGACCAGTTTGTGTCATGACCGAGTTCCTGGTAATGGACATAGTCTCGGCATACAATACAATTATGGAGCTCATTTG